AAGGGTTTCTGGGTGAAGAGTCTCTGGCTGAAAAATATATGGGTGAAAAGTATGTGCAAGAAGAGTTTCTGGGTGAAGAGTCTCTTGGTGAAAAGTATATGGGTGAAAAGTCTGTGCAAGAAGAGTTTCTGGGTGAAGAGTCCCTGGGTGAAAAGTATATGGGTGAAAAGTCTGTGCAAGAAGAGTTTCTAGGTGAAGAGTCTCTGGGTGAAAAGTCTGTGCAAGAAGAATTTCTGGGTTAAGAGTCTGTGGGTGAAAAGTATATGGGTGAAAAGTATGTGCAAAAAGAATTTCTGGGTGAAGAGTCCCTCGGTGAAAAGTATATGAGTGAAAAGTATGTGCAAGAAAAGTTCCTGGGTGAAGAGTTTCCGAGTAAAAAATATATGGGTGAAAAGTATGCGCAAGAAGAGTTTCTGGGTGAAGAGTTTCTGGGTGAAAAAATTGTGCAAAAGGGGTTTCTGGGTGAAGAGTCCCTGGGTGGAAAGTATATGGGTGAAAAGTACGTGCAAAAAGGGTTTCTGGGTGAAGAGTCTCTTGGTGAAAAGTATATGGGTGAAAAGTATGGGGAAGAAGAGTTTCTGGGTGAAAAGTATGTGCAATAAGAGTTTCTGGGTGAAGAGTCCCTGGGTGAAAAGTATATGGGTGAAAAGTATGTGCAAGAAGAGTTTCTGGGTGAAGAGTCTGTGGGTGAAAAGTATATGGGTGAAAAGTATGTGCAATAAGAGTTTCTGGGTGAAGAGCCCCTGGGTGATCCTGGGTGAAAAGTATAGGGGTGAAAAGTATGTGCAAGAAGAGCTCTTGGTGAAAAGTCTATGGGTGAAAAGAATATGGGTGAAGAGTATGTGCAAGAAGAGTTTCTGGGTAAAGAGTCTCTGGGTGAAGAGTCTGTCCAAGAAGAGTTTCTGGGTGAAGAGTCTCTGGGTGAAAACTATGTACAAGAAGAGTTTCTGGATGAAGAGTCTCTGGGTGAAAACTATGTACAAGAAGAGTTTCTGGATGAAGAGTTTCTGGATGAAAAGTATATGGGTGAAAAGTATATGGGTCAAAAGTATGTGCAAGAAAAATTTCTGGGTGAAGAGTCCCTGGGTGAAACGTATATGACGAAAAATATGTGCAAGAAGGGTTTCTGGGTGAAGAGCCCCTGGGTGAAAAGTATATGGGTGAAAAGTATGTGCAAAACAAGTTTCTGGGTGAAGAGTCCCTGGGTGAAAAGTATATGGGTGAAAAATATGTGCAAGAAGAGTTTCTGGGTGAAGAGTCCCTGGGTGAAAAGTCTATGGGTGAAGAGTCTGTGCAAGAAGAGCTTCTGGGTGAAAAGTCTGTGCAAGAAGAATTTCTGGGTGAAGAGTCCCTGGGTGAAAAGTATATGGGTGAAAAGTATGTGCAGGCAGAGATTCTGGGTGAAGAGTCTCGGGGTGAAAAGTATATGGGTGAAAAGTATGTGCAAGAAGAGTTCCTGGGTGAAGAGTCCCCGAGTAAAAAGTATATGGGTGAAAAGTATGTGCAAGAAAAATTTCTGGGTGAAGAGTCTCTGGGTGAAAAATCTTTGGGAAAAAAGTTTCTGGGTGAAGAGTCCCTGGGTGGAAAGTAAAATGGTTGGAAAGCTTGTGCAAGAAGAGTTTCTGGGTGAAGACTCCCTGGGTGAAAAGTATATGGGTGAAAAGTATGTGAAAGAAAAATTTCTGGGTGAAACGTCTGTGCAATAAGAGTTTCTGGGTAAAGAGTCTCTGGGGTAAAAAGTATATGGGTGAAAAGTATGTGCAAGAAGAGTTTCTGGGTGAAGAGCCCATGGGTGAAAAGTGTATGGGTGAAAAGTATGTGCAAGAAGAGTTTCTGGGTGAAGAATCCCTGGGTGAAAAGTATATGGGTGAAAAGTATGTGCAAGAAGAGTTTCTGGGTGAAGAGTCTGTGGGTGAAAAGTATATGGGTGAAAAGTATGTGCAAGAAGAGTTTCTGGGTGAAGAGTTGCTGAGTGAAAAGTATATGAGTGAAAAGTATGTGCAAAAAGAGTTTCTGGGTGAAGAGTCCCTGGGTGAAAAGTATATGAGTGAAAAGTATGTGCAAGAAGAGTTTCTGGGTGAAAATTCTATGGGTGAAAATATGTGGGTGAAAAGTATGTATAAGAGGAGTTTCTGGGTGAAGAGTCTCTGGGTGAAACGTATATGGGTGAAAAGTATGTGCAAGAAGAGTTTCTGGGTGAAAAGTATGTGCAAGAAGAGTTTCTGGGTGAAGAGTCCCTGGGTGAAAAGTATATGGGTGAAAAATATGTGCAAAAAGAGTTTCTTGGTGAAAAGTATATGGGTGAAAAGTATGTGCAAGAAGAGTTTCTGGGTGAAGAGTCCCTGGGTGAAAAGTTTATGAGTGAAAAGTATGTGCAAGAAGAGTTTGCGGGTGAAGAGTCTGGGTGAAAAGTGTATGCGTGAAAAGTATGTGCAAGAAGAGTTTCTGGGTGAAGAGTCCCTGGGTGAAAAGTGTATTGGTGAAAAGTACGTGCAAGAAGGGTTTCTGGGTGAAGAGTCCCTGGGTGAAAATTATATGGGTGAAAAGTCTGTGCAAGAAGAGTTTCTGGGTGAAGAGTTTCTGTGCAAAAAGTATATGGGTGAAAAATATGTGCGAGAAGAGTTTCTGGGTGAAGAATCTCTGAGTCAAAAGTATATGGGTGAAAAATATGCGCAAAAAGAGTTTCTGGGTGAAAAGTCACTGGCTGAAAAGTATATGGGTGAAAAGTATATGGGTGAAAAGTATGTGTAATAAGAGTTTTTGGGTGAAGAGTCCCTGGGTGAAAAGTATATGGGTTCGAAATATGTGCAAGAAGAGTTTCTGGGTGAAGAGTCCCTGGGTAAAAAGTATATGGGTGAAAAGTGTGTGCAAGAAGAGTTTCTGGGTGAAAAATATATCGGTGAAAAGTATGTGCAAGAAGGGTTTCTGGGGGAAGAGTCTCTGGGTGAAACGTATATGGGTGAAAAGTATGTGCAAGAAGAGTTCTTGGTGAAGAGTCCCTGGGTGAAAAGTATATGGATGAAAAGTATGTGCAAGAAGAGTTTCTGGGTAAAGAGTCCCTGGGGTAAAAAGTATATTAGTGAAAAATATGTGCAATAAGAGTTTCTGGGCGAAGAGTCCCTGGGTGAAAAGTATATGGGTGAAAAGTATGTGCAAGAAGGGTTTCTGGGTGAAGAATCCCTGGGTGAAAAGTATTTGGGTGAAAAGTCTGTGCAAGAAGAGTTTCTGGGTGAAGAGTCCCTGGGTGAAAAGTATATGGGTGAAAAGTATGTGCAAGAAGAGTTTCTGGGTGAAGAGTTCCTGGGTGAAAAGTATATGAGTGAAAAGTATGTGCAAAAAGAGTTTGTGGGTGAAGAGTTCCTGGGTGAAAAGTATATGAGTGAAAAGTATGTGCAAGAAGAGTTTCTGGGTGAAAATTCTATGGGTGAAAATATGTGGGTGAAAAGTATGTATAAGAGGAGTTTCTGGGTGAAGAGTCTCTGGGTGAAACGTATATGGGTGAAAAGTATGTGCAAGAAGAGTTTCTGGGTGAAAAGTATGTGCAAGAAGAGTTTCTGGGTGAAGAGTCCCTGGGTGAAAAGTATATGGGTGAAAAATATGTGCAATAAGAGTTTCTGGGCGAAGAGTCCCTGGGTGAAAAGTATATGGGTGAAACGTATGTGCAAGAAGAGTTTCTGGGTGAAGAGTCTGGGTGAAAAGTCTATGGGTGAAAAGTATGTGCAAGAAGAGTTTCTGGGTGAAGAGTCCCTGGGTGAAAAGTATATTGGTGAAAAGTATGTGCAAGAAGGGTTTCTGGGTGAAGAGTCCCTGGGTGAAAAGTATATGGGTGAAAAGCATGTGCAAGAAGAGTTTCTGGGGGAAGAGTCCCTGGGTGAAACGTATATGGGTGAAAAGTATGTGCAAGAAGAGTTTGTGGGTGAAAAGTATGTGCAATAAGAATTTCTGGGTGAAGAGTCTCTGGGTGAAAAAGAATTGGGGCTGGCTTTCGTTCCCCCCTTCTCAGGTTTTTTATTTGCTTAAACTTGCTGATGCTTGTTTGTTGCCCGTGTTGCCCTTTGACCATTGAAATTGAAGTAGTTGTGTTTTTTTTTTTTTGTTTGACTGCTGCCTGCAAAATGAGAGGGCGTCCCAGACATTTGCTAAACTGGGCACTCAATTATATTCATCAGGAGGAGGCACCTTGAATATTGCCTCTTAGTGGTGAAGGAGGCACCTCGTCTCCTACCGGCGGCGAAGGAGGTATGTTTGCTTAGCCCCCAAGAATTATCAGAAGGAAGTACTTTGAATGTTGTCTCCTACAGTGAAAGAAGTGCCCGTTTCCTAGCGGCGCGAAGGAGGTGTCTGCCTCCTTAGCCTGGGGGATATTTTTAATTTAAAAGGAGGCGCCTTGATTATTGTCTCCTACAGTGGTGGATGATGCGTCCGTCTCTTAAATACCGGTGGCGAAAGAGGCGCCTGTCTCATACTGAGTCAGTAAGACGCGGATTGAATTTTGTTTCCTGGAGCTAGGTTGGCCTTGGGGTGGCTTGGTTCACCGGTTGCGGTTGCCGGTAGATTTGTATGTTTGCAATATTTTTCAGTTTTATAGGTTGGCATGTCACAACAATTGTGATGATTGCGGGTTGTTAAGGTTCGCTGTTTGCCTTGCAGTGGCAGTGTTTTGCACCGGTTGCGGCCCCGGGTGTTTGTATCCTCACCGGCTTGCATTTGCATGTTCGAGTAGCAAGTAGCAGCTGGTCCACAACTCAGTGCGGGGCTTTCCAGCGCTCTCAGTTTTTTTCATGGCTGTTTGCTGTTGCAAACGAATGCCATGTCCGCTTGGGAAAAATGCTTCGAAACAGCAAAGATTCCAGAGCCCGCGCGAGCCAAACTACTTGAGCCCGGCTTTGATACCCAAGAGGCTTATTCTTTCAAGGATGAGAAAGTTTTTTTTTTGGCGAAAGCAACTGAGACAAATTGGGTTTGCAAGCCTTGTGGTGCAAAAACTTCACGCCCTGTGGATGAAGGGTTGTGGCGGCGGTGCCACACCACAAGCTTTGGCGTTGCCTTCCACTCCAGTTGCTGTGGGGGTGAGTCCTGGGTCAGGTTTGTTGCTTGGTTCCAGCAAAGGTTTGGCAGTGGCTGACCGTGACCTGTTGCGCCGCGCCCTGGAGGCAAAGTTTGCAGATTGTGTGGTGGACTTGGAATCGCTTCCTTCCATGCCCTTTCTTAACATTGTGAAGACGCAGCGTGGCAACAAGGCTTGGGATTGGTTGCCATGGAAGAAGGTGTTGAGCGAAAAGGTGGCTCCTGCGCTTAAAAAGGTAGGAAACTTGCCCTCGGGCCCCTCGAGTTTTATGCGGGGCTAATGTGGAGGAGCAGTTGGACAGTGAGGCTGGACGCTTTACAACAGCAGGTTCATGAAATTTTGATATATTCCGGAGCCATGACCCCACTTGCGTTAGTGCTCGGCCCAAGAAGCCGAAGAGGCAGACCAAACCGCAATGAGAGAAGTTCAACTTGTGCTGTGCAGGTTGGAGCATCGATGATGCTTTGCATTCAAGAGCTGATGACAGGGACATGCTTAGGTCTCTCTTGATGCCTCGTCCAAAATTGGATAAGCGGTTCAACTGAGAGCCATTGGCGCGGAAACGCCCAGCAGCACCTGTCACAGGTCCATCAAAGCGCTTACGCAATGGAGAGTGTTTCAAGTGGCGCCTTGGTGAGTGCAAGTTGAAGAGCTGCCGGTTCGCGCATGTTTGGGCAGCGTGCGGAGCCACAGATCACCATGCTGAAATTTGCAAAGCAGCAAGCGCAGATCATCGGAAAAACCCAGAGACAAAGTGGCGGGGCGGTATTTTTGAATTACTATTTGTACCGCCTGTAGAATCTTCTGCGCAGGATGCGCCGGTGCAAATGGTCCAAGTACCGAGCGGTTCCCTACATGGCCTGGATGCTAGCAGATTGTTGCGGCTGAAAGATGGTGGTGGTATACATTCAACTGCTGACTGCTAGCTTCCCACGGGCGTAGATTTGTTTGCGGAACAGTGGGGCTAATTTTTGGATTGGGTGTGCGAGTGGCAGCTACTACCACGCTTGCGCTCTCATGTGGCGCAAGCTAGCCGGGAGCCTTTGCTGAGTCGCCTAGCGGGCTTTCTGACGAGCAAAGGCTTCCCGTGCAAGGTAGAGGTGCCGCCATGTCAGCCACTAACTTTGGATCTGTGGCGTGCGCTTTTGCTGTTCTGCGACGACATCGATGTGAATTGCTTGGCATTTTACGTGAGGGCGCGCCCACAGGCATTTTGGCAGATGTTCTGCCTTCAGAGGCGCATGAAGGCGTCGAACTTGGGATTTTAGAGGAGACCTGTGGCTCGGCGTTGGAAGATCCAGACTGCTTAATGCGACTGCAGCAAGCAGATGTTGAGGCCGGGTTTGCTGACTGGATTCCTGGGGGTGTGGAGGAGGCCTGGCGCCTCTTTGGGGCCAATTGTGCGGACGGCAAGCTGGGCTTAGTCAAGAAAGAAAACTCGGAACCAGGGTTGGTGGGGGACAGCAGCATCAGTTGCGCCAATGAGCTGTTTCGCATCCGGGAGAAGATTGAGCTCCCAAGTCTGTTTGATATTGAGGAACTTGTGGCGCGGCACCCCAGAGACAAGTAGATTGCATTCTCTCTTGACGTAGCCAAGGCACACAAGCGTATTCGGGTGCATCCATCAGAACAAGGGTTTTCATTGTTCTGCGCAGTGGATTCAGCAGGGCAGAGCCTGTCACTTCGGCGCAGGCTGGTTGGCATACTGGTGGTCAAGAGCGGGCGCAGCTTATGTGAGAAGCGTGCACCGGCTCCTTCATGGGGCCATTTTCTCAAACGCATGATTGCCCGTGCGGATCAGCTTTCAGCAGAGGAAGTCCATTTGAAGTCATCCATGACTAAGCGTTGCAAGCAGGTTTTGAAACACAAGAATCTGGCGTTTTTCAAGGAGCTCATGGAGGAAGCGGGTTCAACAGATGTGCACCTGGCAAATGACATGGCGGAAGGGTTTGATTTGACAGGGAAACTCCCGGCATCTCCCAAGTACTTCGAGCAGAAATTCAAACCAGCAAACCTGCCAACGGAAGCCCTCAGAGGCGTGGCTGACAAAGTTCGTTCCGTTTTGCTGGCCAACGTGAAAAGCTGTGGAGACGACAGCATTGACAGAGGAGTTCTGCTGGCGACCCTCAAGGAGAAGGAGAAAACTTCTAGCAAACTGCCTACAGGGGCCACCCATTCAAGGCGTTTGGCGTCTTACAAAAAGATAAAGTGCGGCCCGGCCCATTGATGACTACAAGGCCAGCCTGGTCAATTCCGTGGTTGCCCAGGAGGTAGCTACCCTTCATGGCATCAACCACATAGCTTGTCTTGGAACTGCTTTGCTCAAAGGGGCCAGAAACAACGGCCGAAGTGGCGCGCTGTTGGGATCTGGCCTCGGTATACAAACAGGTGCCGCTGTTTGATGAGGCATGCGAGATGGATTCCTACATTGTCATATGTATCCCAGATTCGGGCGGGCCAGAACTTTATTAACAGGCAGTGCTCCCCTTGAGCTCCATCGCCTTTGTCACGGCCTTCTTGCGATGTGCGCTGGGAATCTGGCACGTTGGGTGCGCGTTGCTCAAGTTGACTTGGACGTCGTACTTCGACGATTTTCGCAGTTTCTCACATGCCTTTTTGGAGAAGCGCACACAAAAATCTGCATGTTTACTTTCTTCGCCTTGCTTGGATGGCGTCTTTCGACTGCCAAACTGGCCCCCTATGACCAATGCTGCAAGGTGCTAGGCGTTCACCTGGATCTCACCAGAAGCGTCAATGAGTGCTTTGAAGTGCAGAACACCGAGGCTAGAAAGTGTGAGCTTACAGCAGTCTCAAAGCAGCTTTGTCAAAGGGCACTTTACCCGAGAGTGAGGGAGAAAGACTGCGAGGCAGATTGCAGTTTGCGTCCAATCAGCTTTTCGGCAGCCGGCAGACGTGTTAGGAATTGCTTGTGGGAGGCAACACCCATGTGAGACGCGGTCCAGTGAAGTGAGTGCGTCCCTTGAAGTCATGATCACGGAAACGAATGTTCCAAGACCGGTTGATGCAAACTTTATCAAACTTTTAGATTGGATCCATGTCTTCGTTGATGCATCACTGGAACCAGATGGCTATTCAGGGATGAGCGGTGTTGCATTCGACAGCCTAGGGAAATTCTCTTTCTTTAGCGAGGAGGCCACAAAAGAATTCATTGACCTGACCTCCCGCCAGGGACACGAGACTGTCATTTTTGAGTTGGAGGGTTTGGCCATAGCAGCCGCCATATCCCTTTTTCGCCCTTTCATCAAGGGAAGAAGGGTAGTAGTCTTCACAAACAATGAGGCCGCCCAGACCTGTTTTGTCAAATGCAAGCCAAAGAATGATCACATGAACTTGATCATCAAAACAACATTGTCTCTTGAAGAAGCATTAGGCCTGGTAACCTGGATCGAGAGGGTGCCGTCGCAATCGAATCCTTCAGAGATCCTTTCGGGAGAAAAGGTCTCTCACTACCTAGGCCTTGCTGCCTGTCCATTGGGTTTGGTGAAGTTGTGGAAGCTCTGCTTGGGTGAGCATTTTCTCGCCTCCTGATTTTGGGAGAGTTGCGAGACATCCGAAAACGTGACCTTTACACCCCACTGTCAAAAAGAGTGCTACAGCAGCTGAGCGTTTTCAAGACAGTGGTTTCAGCTATTTGAATGTCTTGATCAGTCTATCAAGCAGTACAACATTGGACATGTCCGTGAGATAACTACAAGGGAAATTAAGATGTAACTCAACGCGCGGATGGAATTTTATTTTCAAGGGGGTTATTGCTTTGTTTTTGCAAGTGCAAAGACAATAGGACATGTCATGTTGATCTTTCTGATCATGAGTTGTACGTTTGCTCTTAAGGTTGAAGTGAACCCCAGTGCATTCAAATCGTTCACATTCTTTTCGTCCCATCCCAAGTTTCCGCGTCATGTGTCACCTTTTTACCACCCTCAAATGTTTAGGGCATGTGTCCTCCATGTACCAGCAAGTGCTGTACACAATTTCTTATGTCACTCAGCTCACGTGAACTCAGCGCCAAGTGGCCATGGTTCCCCCTATGCAAAACTGTCGAACGTCTCGAAGCACGATGAGCTGATCACCTTGACAATCCCAATGGTGTCCTCAATGATGTGCCCGAATTACATCAGCGAGTACATGAGCACCTGTGCCGTGCCATCCGTGCTGTCTCCCAAGCCATTGACCAATTGAGACGCACCAAATTGGCATCGTACCTGGCTTTCGTGACAAAACTTCAACAGTTCATTCGAGCACAACGAGCCCGTCCAGCCATTGAGGATTCCGATTCTTCCGAACCATAATTCGGGCGGCCTATTTCCACCGTTCGTGCCGCGAGACATCCGAAGTCGTGACCTTTACACCCCACTGTCGAAAAAAGTGCTGCAGCAGCTGAGCGTTTTCAAGACAGTGGTTTCAACGATTTGAATGTCATGATCAGTCTATCAAGCAGTACAACATTTTCACATGTCCGAGGATCATATTTGCAAAAAAAATAATTTCAACAACGCAGCCTTGAAGGCGCACATTTTTTTGGGGTTTGTTTTCATTGATCGTATGTATTGTCTGTAGTGGGTGGTGAGTAGCCATTTTGGATTTCGATTTTGTAGTCCGTTTGGGTGCACCTTTTTTGATGGACTGGTATTGTGTAATCCGCGTTTCTTCGCAAAAAAATAATTAGGAGAAATTATTTACGGCCAACTTATACTTCGGAAAATAGTAGTTCCATCACTCTTGAATTATTTTGCCTGAAATTAATTTAGGTGGGTGGGAAAAGTACCGTTTACTATGTCCAGGTGGCGGGGTAGTGCTGACAAGCAAATTCACTGAGGTACTTCGAAGCTGTAAGGATTCTTCGAAGCCGTAAGAACCCTTCAACTAATACTTTTATTAATTGAGGTGGGGGACAAGCTTGGAGACCTTTTTATGCGATAGTGATGAAAATAGCTAACTTTTTGCACCCGAAATTATTATATGGAAGGCTGCGCACGACATTGGAAATGGAACAATGGTTTGACTGGACGGGATGACGCACTTGCGCATACAAACTTATGCTTGATTCTTTGATGGAAATGGGGGGGAACTCAAGAATTTTTGCCAAACGAAACTCGGCCTGCAACCCATTTTTGCACGCAGAATCAAGAACGGATCCAAGTGAAAACCGGAGATGCTGGACATAAGTGTTTGGGCTGCATCCTTGGCGTAGGTCTTTCAAAACCCGAGTTCATTGGATTTATCACATCACCTTCAGGAGGCCTCTCGATTTTTCTTTGCGGACACACAAATAGTTTGTGGCCAAAGGGTCCGTGTGAAGAAACGTTTACGGTTTTTCGATCTTGTCATCTTCTTGCTGCTATGTCAGGTTCTGGGCACCGCAGGGTTTATCATTCCGATTTGCGCCGCGTGGATGTATTATTCCGAAGGCTGCTTCGTATGGTGGTGGGCGCTCCGGGCAATCTGGATTGGTCGCGTCAAGGTTCGGACATCAACCTTAAGCAAACATCATGTGAAACTATGGGCACTCTCTTGTCTAGAATTGCGTTGGAACCTTGGATTGTACATTGCTTCTCTGCCTAGAGAAAGGTGGGTCTAAAGAACTCTGCGTTGGAAACCCGCTGGTGCTCGTGTTGCAGGACATCTTCAATATGATTGGACATCAAAATTTCAATCGTAAACAACGCGACACATGGATGTTTGGTATACTTTGGCATCCACCAGGGAATTGTGGACACACTTGGTTGAGGATTTCGTGGCCTTTGCTTCCGGCCAGTTTCGACGAAGAACAGCGGGCCTTTTGTAGGATTTTTTCACATACTATGTCAATCCGGACGGCGGCATGTGTGTCAGATAGGATGAACAAAAAAAACATGTGAAAAAAAAACCTTTGAAATAACATATCATTTACAAGGTCAGTTGATAAGGATCACTCGAGCAGGTATCCCACCCCGACGCATTATTTTGACATACTCAGACGTATTTTCCGACATACCATCTGGAATTATATACATTTATTTAATATTAGATACATATTTTTTAATATTATATATATATAATTTCATATTATCTATATATTATATTGATTTTATTATATGTATAGATATATTATATCATATATTATATATAATGTAAATTATATTACATATATATATATATTGTATTGAATTATATTAAATTATATTATATTATATTTTATTATATTATACTATACTATATTATATTATATTATATTATATTACATATTTAATTTCCAATATATATATATTTTACATATATATATATTTAATATTACATCTATATATATATAATATTTATATTATTATAATATACTGTATATTATAATAAATAAATTAAAAAAAATATATATATAATATACATATATAGTGAATGAGACCTGTATACATAATTTTGGGCGGCCCATTGGGGGACCGGCTCAGATCATCGTAGGCAAAATTCAATAACGTTTGCCTCATGATTAGCCTATGGGCCCGTGTCCAACGCAACTTCATGCCACGAACCAAGATTGGCATATTAACGTGGATAATCCACCTGTGCAAAATTATCGCTCGAAATCCGAAACAACAATAATTATCGCCGATGAAATAGTTAGTTCGCAAAAATTTGACGATGTGAAATCATGTGCTGTTTTGAAGGGTTGAATCCATTGCCGCATGTCGCAAGGCGAAGTGTGAACATTTGGTTTGTTGAATTGCTCTTACCACATCAATTTTCTACATATTCAGTTGCTGGTATGGCTCAACAGCATTCAAGTGCAAGCAGGTCTTCGTGTGGCTTGGCCCCAGTTCCCTCTTTAGAGCATCCATGAACAAAACATCAGCACATGAAAGTTGCTGGCATGTTGCTGTTGTTATTGTTCGGTGAACTACATCACCTTTCATTTCAAGTTAGGCATGGACAATTTGAAGTCACGTTTTGACTTGCCACTGAGGTTGTGCCGCTTGCCAGATGTAATTGTTCGAAACTTGGAACCCAGGTACCTAGCAGCTAACAGGAATGCTCTGAAGGTTGTTTGTTGGCTTTAGGTCGGGAAGAAAATGTGGATCCAAAAAAATGGGCACTTCATTGTTGAACCATGGGTCATGGGGAACCTACAATTTGTGACAACATCATGGGTGCTGGGTTGTGAGGTTCGGGTTTCCTTGTGCTTCATGTCTTAACGCTGAGTTTTGCGGCAGCTGGGTTCAAATATTGTGGGGTGTGGTAGGCATGTCTCATCGCCTCAAGTGGCAGAGCGATGTCGATGCCTATGGGAGCACCTGGGATGCCCCCCCCGGTTCCGCCGCCGCCACCTTTGCAGCATGGAATGGTGAAACCACCGCTGCTCCCAATGCCAGGACTTGGGAAGGCAGGACCCATGGCACCGCAGCAGCTGCTGTTGATGCCGCACCCAGGGCTTTTGAATGTGCTCCAACCAGCAACGTCTCCACCAGCAACGTCTCCACCGGCAGCCAAACCGGCACCTGCTGCTAATTCTGCTCCAAAGGGGGGTGATGCTGTACCTGCGAATACCACAGGTAAACAGTTCCCTTGGGAAGGCACAAGTGGAATCCAGTGCAAGTATGGCCGTGCTTGCAAAAACTCGCAGTGCACGGACACCCATCCCAGTGGACGAGGGATTGATGAAGATCCTAATAGCACGATATGCCGCTTCGGAAGGAAATGCAAAAGGCAGGGCTGCTTCTTTGTCCACCCACAAGGCCGTGAGGTGGATGATGATCCTACCAAAGGCCTGTGCCGTCAAGGCGTCGCTTGCAAGCGACCCGATTGCCTGTACTCCCACCCGGAAGGGCGAGTGGTAGAAGGGCAAGAGTCACGAGCATGCCATGTTTGTGGCATAGCAGGTCATTTGATGAAGGATTGCCCGAAACGAAGGGGGATTGCAGCTTTGCCGTTGGTCAAGGGCCAATATGTGTCGCTGACTGACTTCGCCGCAGAGTGGGAATCCAAGACCACAGAAGAGCTCACAATCCAACTCACAGAAGAGCTCGAAGTCTTTGGGACACTCACTTTGGCGCCAGTTTTGATCGATGGTCATCGCAAAGCAGTTGGAGTCTTCGAAGAGGAGGAGGCGGCCAAAGCTGCCATGGAAGCTTTGGAGTCTGTGTTGACGATGGAGATGAGTGATCCTCCAGTTCAAAACGTAGCGGACGGAAAACCAGGTTCTGTTCTCATCAAGGACTTCCCTAGACGTTGGCAAGCTTCGGATATTGGAGCGTTACTTCACGGTACAGTCAAACCCAGTTCTTTGCTTGGCAGGGTCCTTAGCGTCCTTAGCGTCCTTAGCAGCATGGAAAATCATGGGGCTTTAAGTGGGTCAGAAAGTTTCAGTGACCTTCCATGGCTGGTCCAATGACATTGCCTGACATTGCCTGACATTTCTCATTTTCCCTCCGAGGTATTGAGATGGTCCCAGGTCCTGGTGAAGATGAAGGTGGCAACCGTGGTGGGGCGCGTGTGCGCATGCGTGACTTCGCTACAGCAAGAGAAGCCGCCAAGGTGTGCGCTGTGAGTCCACGATGCTTTGTTTCCATCCTTCCTTCCGTCCTTTTCCAGTTCTTACACGCGGAATTGCTATTGTGGCTATATTAGATGATTAATGAGACTCATGAGCCCCATGAGTCATTTGTTGAACATCTTGATAAGGTTCCAAATCAGTGCAAGATATACTGGTCGCACTGTTGCACACCCATTTCACACCATCAGTGGGTTTGGTTCTTGTATGGGTTTGGTTTCATTTTTTGTTCGGGCAATTTTTACACCCTTTTCCTAGTCCGATTATCCATCTATATAATTTTCATATATTTTCATAACATATTGCCGCATACAATATACGTTTTTTCGTGTTAGAATTAGAATCGTTAGCATACATAATATGCTTGCCCGTTGATTTATTCACTTATTTATTCATCAATATTAAATCAATATATGAGTTTTTTTTTGAGTAAACTATCCAAATGCTTTGGAGTTCCTGGCAAGCAAATCCAAGAAAATGGGCTGAAAGTGCAAATGCTAGAGAGTTGTTTGGGGTCAATCCACTGATCCTATAGATCCTCATTGGACAACTGCCAGGAACTACAAGGACAGAAGGTGGCAGGCAAGCCTTTGCACATCACTCTGGTCACTTGGTTGCATTGGTTGCCCGAAGATGTGCAACTACTTTGCTTGCGACTTTGATATGTGGTGAACAAATCATAAAGCTTGAGTCGCATGAAGATGCTGCCAATACCATGGAAGCTGTTCAAAAACCCAACAGTTTTACCAGTTTTACCTTTCTAATGAGTGCCCTTGGCGTGAACAGCTTCAGGAAGACGAGGATGGCAACTCCCACGACATCGACGACAACGTGGAGCCCGAAGTCAAGCCACGCCAGGAGTTCCCCGACCGAAGAGTTGACGGCATCGAGATGTGCCAAGACTATCGAATGGATCGGTGTACTCGGGGCGATCGCTGTAAGTTCTCCCACGGAGAAGATGACAGCGATGAGAAGAAAGCACGCCTGGAAAAAGAACGACTCTTTGACTTCACTGATAGCCTGTGATAGCTACCTTAGTTTTTGTGGGGCATTCTCGTGATCGAAACCTGGGTGCTAGCAGCATGTTGAATTGAAGAGCTCCGTATATCCATGTGCATGATGATCAGATGTCCATGATCCATTTCTGGCGGGAAACTGTGCTGCTGTCGAGTTTGTTGGTCACTGTCCACCCAGGAAAAAGACGAGAAGAGAAGGACAGAGACAAAGATCGAGAGCGGCGACGGAGGTCACGTAGCCGCAGCCGCAGAAGGTCTCGCAGTAGAGGAAAGAAAGCTAAGTACCTGGGCAATATGAAATTTCGGCAGAGTGGCAAGAGAACGCAAACTTTCAAAGCGTAGGTGCCAGAATGGCTGCCGGAACCTCACATCTACCAGAGGTATTTCCTTGCCAACTTTCCGTTCTTATCATTTGGTTCGTTGAAGCTAGATGCCTAGCGTTGGTCTTAGCCTCTTTCCTGATTTTGATGCCCATGCTTTGATTGCACCATGCTTGGCTGATGTGCTGAGGACTCACATTATACACATTGATGAGTTGAAGATGACAAATCGACCAGATGTCGAACCAGCACCGACAGACACCGAGATTTTCGCTGATCCGCTGCCAGAGGAAGATCTGATGGACACATGTCTTAACGCCTTTGGCTCCACGGAGGAGATCTATGTTCTGCCTTCGGGGCCTCGTCGTGGCTACGTGAAGTTCACAGAGCATGCTGCCGCCTCTCGTGCTGTCCAGGCGGAGAGAAACAAATTTCGAAAGTAAAATGAACCTTTTCAAAGCTTTGACAATCTTGACAGATCTTGACAGATCTTGACAGATCTTGACAGATCTTGACAGATCTTGACAGCTAGCACCGTCGACTGAGACACAGCACCAACTTGAGGGGCGAAGTTGACCTTGTTTTGGGTTTCACTGGTTTTTCAAGTGGTTCATCTTCACCGCCCAATTTGCACTTTTTGCTAGGCCGGCTTTGGCAGCTGGTCGGAGTCGGAGCGGGTCTTGTCGTCACAAAGATCCAAGAAGGACGACCGCACCATTGCCACCTACCCAGATAGCATCATCGCCAGATTAGTCGGCTCGCGCGGTGATGGCATCAAGAAGTTGCAGGAGGAAAGTGGTGCAGCTGCCTGTCAGGATTGGAATGCAAAGAGGCGAATTCTGTATGCTAGTCACATACAGTAAACTTTGAGGTTATGCGGATTCTCGGGGTGACTTCCTACTAGCCCGTGGTGTAATTTGCTTCAATTTTTTCACACAGGCTTTAAATGAATAAAACGCGGCAGCGGAAAAACTTAAAAGTGCCAACTTGTGCCAGGATTTAGCAACTCATTGGCTTAGTATGGCTTAGTATCATGTGTCACTTTGTTTGCATCCTTACATGGACTGCTTAGGTTTGGATCCATCTACGGGGTGAAGACCTAGGGCATTCGGACTACAAGTTCTCCAGCTCCCAGCAGGTACACTTTATCGCTGAGGTGCAGGAATCATGAGACATACTGTTATAAACACGGACATCCATAATTCCATAAATACAGTAATTTATATATTTTATACTGTAATTACGTGTATGCACATATGCATCATATGCACATTCATATATATATATATATATGTTACTTACACACTATGCAGCCACATTTTGTTGAGTTTGAATTGCAGTTGCATCATGTCTTCGTTTGCGGTTATTCTTGAAAAGCTGCTCTAGTCCACAGCATGCTTAGTGGCGTCAATCAAGATCCAAGTATGAGATTCAAACTTTTGAGAACCACCATCTTTTTGGTTCGGTCCGTTCAATCGTCTCAAAGGACCCGATATAGCATGATAATTGCTGATGTTTCCATTCTGCATCGTATCAATTGTAACCTGCGTGCAAGTTGGAGGCGGATGATGCTGTGGTCCCAAAGCTCAAGGAAGCACTCGAGCGAAGAATGTACGACATACATGAAAACATCATTCAGACCCTGAAAGAGTTGCCTGGCTTTGCTTGCAGTCCTGGTATACCTGGAACAATGATGCTAATGCTCCTTTCGTGTATGATTATCGAAGGAAGTTTAGAAGTCAAACTTCCGACAATATGGACAGATGGAACAGCAGAGGTGGGAAGAGTCAGAGAAGAGAAGAGCAGAAGAGAGAAGATCAGAGAAGAGAAAGAGTCAGAAGAAAGAAGATGCAGGTGCGCGAAAAGGTAGGAAAGTCGCGAACCACTGTTTTTCCAATGATTTGTGGCTCCGGAGGGTCGAAGAGTAGGCTCGCTAAAGCGGCGGGTCCGGAGCCATTTGGCCAGATGAGAGATGAAAAGTTGCACGCCGTTGTGGCGCGAAGCACATTTGGAAATCAAATGTGCAAAACACCGCATGTTCGGACCACTTTTGGAATTTGAGATGTTGAAAAAGTGAACGCCGTTGTGGCGCGAAGCACACGTCGAAGTCAAAAGGTACAAAGCACACCAACGTCGGACCACTTTTGGAATTTGAGATGTCGTAAAAGTGTATGCTGTTGTGGCGCAAAGCACTGTCCAAGTCAAAATGTTAAAAGCACTACATGCTCGGACCACTTTTGAAGTTCAGATGTGGTTTTGCGTGGCAGGTGCTGGGCGTGGCAGGCGCAGTGCAAAAGACATGTTCATCAGAGATGTTAGGAGGTCAGCGCGCTGATTTCCTGAGAAGTGTTGCATTTTGGATCATCAGAACTTCAGTTTCGGGAAGATGATTTTGCGTGACAGGTGCAGCACTTCGTATGACCTGGCATCAATTTTCCGGGGCAGGCCGCCAAACGCATTGGTACGAGGCCGTCAGCGCTGCACTCAACTTTCCATCTTTGAAGGACGTCTTGCAGAATTGCTTCGTTTTTGCTGTTGCCAACTTCGAAAATTGAGGAAGTTTCGCAGAATTGCTTCGTTCTTGGCGTTGCCACGTGCAAAGCTTGCAGAAGTCTCGCAGAAGTGATTCTTTTTGACGTTGGCACGTTCAAACTTGGAGGGGGTCTCGCAGAATAGCTTCGTTTTCAAGCTTGCAGATAGACAGATAGATAGATAGACAAATTACACCTACAACTACAACTACCACTACACTACACCACTGCTACAGATATATTACGCTACATTACGCTACACTTCATTACATTAATTACATCTAATTACATTACATTACAATACACTACGCTATATTGATTACAATACAACCACAACTACAGCAGCAACAGCAACAGCAACAGCAACAACAACAACAACAACAACAACTACTACTACTACTGCTACTGCTACTGCTACTGCTACTGCTACTGCTACTGCTACTACTGCTACTACTACTGCTACTACTACTGCTACTACTACTACTACTACTACTGCTACTAGTACTACTGCTTTTAGTATCAATACCACTACTACTACTACTTCTACTACTACTACTACTCCTACTAGTACTAGTACTAGTACTAGTACTAGTACTACTACTACTACTGCTACTACTACTACTACTACTATTCCTTCTCCTATTCATGCTACTGCTACTACTATTACTATTATTATTACTATTATTATTACTACTATTACTACTATTACTACTATTATTACTATTACTACTATTACAATTATTACTATTACTATTACTATTACCATTACTAGTACTATTATTATTACTACTACTACTATTACTACTACTACTAGTATTACTACTACTGCTGCTACTACTACTACTACTACTGCTGCTACTACTACTACTATTATTATTATTACTACTATGATTGCTATTACTATTATTACTACTATGACTGCTATTACTATTTCTATTATTATTACTACTACTACTACGACTACTACTACTACTACTACTGCTACTACTACTACTACTACTTATTACTACTATTATTACTACTACTAGTACTACTAGTATTACTACTATTAGTACTACTACTAGTACTACTACTAGTACTACTACTAGTACTACTACTAGTACTACTACTAGTACTACACGTTTACTACTACTACTACTACTAACTACTAATATTATTACGACCACCACCACCACCTCCTCCTCCTCTTACTACTACTACTACCACTACCTCTACCTCTACCTCTACCTCTACTTCTACTACTACTACTACCACCACCACCACGACCACCACCACTACTACTACTCCTATTTCTTTATTATTACTACTACTACTACGACGACGACGACGATGACGACGACCAGGTTATGGCCACCACCAGCAGCTAACAACTACATTACTTTGCACTCGACTACACTAATTACACTACAGTACTTTACAACCACAGATGCAAATACAATTACATCTAGTCTACATTGCGCAACACAACACAACACTACACTACACTAATTACATTACATTACAATACAACTACAACTGCAGCTGCAACTGCAGCGACAACTGCAACTACCACTACATTGCACTACACTACAATAATCACACTACACTAATTGCACCACACTACAGCTACAACCACACGACTTTACATTACATTACGCTAGACTACATTATACCACACTACAGTACACAACGCTACAGTACACTACGCTACACTACACTAATTGCACCACACCACAACTACAACTGCAACGTAACTACGCTACAATAATTACACTACATTACAACTACAACTCCGCTACACTACACAACAACCACAACCACAGTACATCCAGCAGTTGTGGTGAGGTGACCACTGCGACCATTGCAACCACTCCAAAAGAACACAACTCCAACCACCTTTCGGTCCATCAGTGGATTCGCTCTGCCATACATGATTCACAGCAACCAACCTTTCCTATAGGTTTCTTATTTTTGAAACTTCCGCCACCGCCTTGCGCGGTACTACTGGCATAATTGCTATGTTAATGGCGGGTAGCCTTTGCATTCAGAAAGCACCATCACAAATTGAAACGGGACAGGGCACTGGTCCGAAGGCAACAAGGCGCAAACAACCGTGCTTGCAACAGGAGATGAGCTAGCACCAGGCAAGCACCTAAAGTCCTAGCGTGTTTGCAACAGATTGGCAGCAAACACAAGAATACGCAGATCGTCAAGATACAAAGGTCCCCTAGGCCCTAGTCTTCTTTTGGGTTTGTACTTTAGGGCTTCTTGCTGCAGTTTGTTTTTGCCCTCTCCCCTTTTTCCCCTTTCATGTACATCAGACATCATCAGACCATCCAAGGAAGGCTGGCGCAAGACGCCCTGAGTTTGAGGATCCCTGGATGGCCGGTCCTCCCCACCCTCCTCCACCAGGGTGGGGCTGGGGTCCACCGCCACCTGATCCATGGGGTGCTCCTCCACCTTGGGGTCCGCCGCCCCCGGGTTGGGGCTAGTAACGGCTAGTGACGGCTAGTGACGGCTAGTGAGTCTAGTGAGTATACTCTGCATGGAGCCTGGTGATGCACAAGGCACCACGCAGCTTGTATAGAGCTGGGGCTGAAGCTGCCTGCTCGAGGAAAAAAATATGGACAACGTGCTTTGGTTGTTGTCCCATGCTGCATCAAAAGGGCTGCAGAAGTCTGTGAGATTTCTGAAACTTGGACGGCCGGTTGTCATGAGGTGGGGTGCAGGGTGCTAAACGCAAGTGTGGAGACTCGATTTGGAATTCGCACCACCAAGGCGGAACTGTCTGCGTGGCAAGTTCCAACAAGCAATCTTTATTGGAACCAGTGGGCAGGCTCAGGCTTGTCGGGTCGCAAGCAAAGATCTTTTGTACCTACCCCGTTTTTGTCCAACATAGGTCCACAAAGGGCGTACTTCTTCAAGAATCGATGATGCGGACCAGCTCGCTAGTTCTTTCTGAAGAGTGTTTGTGATATGTTATGATATGCAGCAGGTTGTTGCTTCGGAACAGATCATTGATCACTCGGCGTGAGACCTCAGCCCTCAGCTAGGTCTCTTTCCAGTGAAACCCTTATCGTTTCAACATATATATGTCAGCAGTTTTTCCAGCACTTCCCCACAAAGTGTACGAACTCTCAACCACCAAATTGTCTTGGGAACAGGTAGTGACGGGAGGGTTTGCGAGACACATTTTGTGGCTTTCTTCATGACTCAGCTGGTTCTCACATCAATCACGCACGCTCTTGCACCAGTCTTGCTGGAAATGAGACCGATGATCTGAATAGGTGGAACTTCCCAACCCGAAAACGACATTGTAATTTCCGGGTTCTTCATTTGATTAGAACAAATGACCTCGCAAATTGTTCATAGCCTGGAGATTTGCACAAAAGATGCGATGTGTGGGTCCTCAGCTTTCTCTGCCATATGTCCCTCAGCGCAGCAATGCCGGCAGCCGAAGTAGTGGCAGTGTTCAAGCGCTTTGACAAGGACAGAAGCTTCTGGTAGGATGAGGACATGATGCAAATGGGTAGAGTGAATTTGGCTTGAAGAACACCATTTAGGACCGCTTGCCAATGTGGCACCTCGTTTTTCAACCAACGTGCGTACATCCCATCAAGTCACGCAAACTGCAATGTGCGGAGTTCAATTCTGTGCGTGTGCCCTCCATTTGTGGAGAGAGTCAAGGGAGGCAGTGGAGGCCGTTTGGTCAGAGCTTTGTTTCGCAGAACGCTTTGACACTCTTTTCAAAAGGAACTACCATTGTTGCATATGGTTCCCATATGGTTCCCATATGTTCCCATCATGGTTGAATTTCATACTCGTCGCATGTGCATTGTGTCCAGGATGGCTCTGGCACGATGAGCCAGGAGCAGCTCTGTGCAGTGTTCAAGGCTTTCAATCCGGAGGCCTTGGTTTTGCGAATACGCTCTGTTTGCGAAACCAAACCAGTCAGACCCATGCATACGAAAAAACATGGAAAAACACGTAAAATGATGATATAGATATGCATGTGATATGCATGTGATATAGAACGGACCGACCAGCCGCAAGTCAAGCATAGAACTTGGTCTGCATAGCGGCATAGCTTCCTTCTCTAGCCTCTGGTCTCAGTTCTGCAAAGCATCCCAGGCACTCTCACATAACGAGATCAATAGTTTGGTTCGAGCGGGGAAATGCAAAGACGGAAAGCTTGACATTGAGCCTTGGCCTGCTCCAAACGAGTGCCGCATACACCTAGCAGATGAGCCAATATAGGTCCTAGGTTGACTCCTGTTCCAAGGAAGAATTCGTAAGCTGGCTCTTTGCAGCTGTGAAGCGGCCACTGCCCAAGATAGATGCTGAAGAACGTGGCAGGGCTATGCGTGCCTCGCCTCATCCAGTTCTGATCTCAAGCGGGCAAACTGACCAGATTGGATCAACGCTTGATAAATTTTTAGCCATTTGTCGTGACTGTTTGAATTTGGGGCTTGGTACTTGTAGCAAGATTCTGCAAGCTTAAAACGTTTGGTTTCAGTCAGTCTTAGTATCAACATTTTTATCAGGCAACACGGAAGAGTTCCGGTTTATTGAAGAACCATTGTGGTTTCAGTATTTGCGCAGCTGTGGCAGGCGTTGATGGTGGCTTTGGATGGCTGCGTAAGGCCAATGCAAAAGCTGACCGGGAGGCTTGGAGCAATGTCTTCCTCGTGTGCACACTGAAAGTTTGAGCCCGTGGGTGGAAACCAGCTAGTGCGTATGAAGATAAAGTCTAGCTGTAGGAAGTTTGGGAGAGATTTCTCATGGTTTTCGTAAACTTTCATAACTTTCATTGATTTTCTGATTCGATTTGCGCTTTCACAGGCTTTTCCGAAACTTTTCCCATCTTTTTCGATCGGGCGGGCGGTTCGTGACCCCTAGCGCCAGGCGAGGCAGGAGATTGGCTCCGCTACCCGGACAGCCGTGAAAGCCGGTGGTTTTCAGCTTGGGACGGCGGCTTGGACGGTGATTTCTTTTTGAAGAGTAGGGAGTTGCAGTGGAGTCAGACAGCATAGATACAGTAGCTTGCCTGTCCGCCGCACCTGAAAGGCAGAGATCCAGATAAAACATGTTGAGGTGGCTTGGCTCCTGATAGAAGCTTCCTTGCTGTTCCCTGCTTCCGGGTGGAGCACCATGAAAATAAGAGTTACATGGCGCAGTGTGTTTCAAAACGCCCGTTTTTCGTTTGGCCATGTTTTTCAAAACATGGGTTGCGCCAGGTTGTGCCACCGTTGTGTATAGTTTAAAACGTTTAAAAGAGCCCAGGAGATGGTCAAGGGCACCCAGCTGCTCTCACCCAGTCTCCCGGGATTCCCGGGATGGCCTGTGGATTTTCCAAAAGGGACGACGGAGCTGTTGGTGGAGCGTGGAACTGTCTTGGATGTAGCTGTGGGGCAGGCTCTCAAGGGAGAACCTCGGCTTGGGCATGCAGCAGGTCGCTAGTTCTTAGTTGAATGGCCCTTGCATGGCTTCAAATCTGTTGCGAGGTGAGCTGCCGCAAGTAGTCGTATGAGGTCTCTCGTTTACACTTACTTGTCAATCATGCATACGCACACACACACACACGCATAATGTCTCATATGTATGTATGTATGTATGTATGTAAGTAATGTATGTATGTATGTATGTAATGTAATGTAATGTAATGTAATGTATGTAATGTAATGTAATGTAATGTATGTAATGTATGTAATGTATGTAATGTATGTAATGTATGTAATGTATGTAATGTATGTAATGTATGTAATGTATGTAATGTATGTAATGTATGTAATGTATGTAATGTATGTAATGTATGGAATGTATGTAATGTATGTAATGTATGTAATGTATGTAATGTATGTAATGTATGTAATGTATGTAATGTATGTAATGTATGTAATGTATGTAATGTATGTAATGTATGTCATGTATGTCATGTATGTCATGTATGTCATGTATGTCATGTTTGTATGTATGTAATGTAATGGAATGTAATGGAATGTAATGCAATGTAATGTATGTATGTATGTATGTAATGTATGTAATGTATGTAAATGTATGTAATGTATGTAATGTATGTAATGTATGTAATGTATGTAATGTATGTAATGTATGTAATGTATGTAATGTATGTAATGTATGTATGTAAGTATGTAATGTATGTAATGTATGTAATGTATGTAATGTATGTAATGTATGTAATGTATGTAATGTATGTAATGTATGTAATGTATGTAATGTATGTAATGTAGGTAATGTAGGTAATGTATGTAATGTATGTATGTATGTATGTTTGTATGTATGTATGTATTGTATTGTATTGTATTGTATTGTATTGTAATGTATGTATGTATGTATGTATGTATGTACTGTATGTAATGTATGTAATGTATGTAATGTATGTAATGTATGTAATGTATGTAATGTATGTAATGTATGTAATGTATGTAATGTATGTAATGTATGTAATGTAATGTATGTATGTAATGTAATGTATGTAATGTAATGTAATGTAATGTAATGTAATGTAATGTAATGTATGTATGTATGTATGTATGTATGTATATTGTAATTTCCATCCATGCTGTTCACTCAATATACCATCCGTCTTCCAAGTCCTGAACTCCTCGTGTCCGATAGACACTGACTTGGCCCAGGCGAGCCCTGGAGTTTGGGCGGGTGGGTACGTCAGTGCGATAGCCTTGTGGTTGCAGCCCTGTGGGCAGAGCATTTGGGCGTGGCCGCCCTTGGCAGACTGTGTGTGGACAACAGCACTGGAGTGGAAAAGGAGTGGCTGCAAGGCCATTTGCTTGGAGGTGGGATTGGGGTTGGAGAGGGGGCTCGCACCAATCACATTGGTAGCGGAGCCCCCGTGGAAAACGGGGGCATCCAGAGGAGGACATGTCAGAGGCTTCTGTAGGTGAAGGAACATCAGTAACCAACTGGCATCGCTTGTCCCGTCGTTTGATCCCAGCAAGAATGACATGGCGGTCTACCAGCAAAAGGTGGAGCTCGTACTGGCAGCTTGGCCGAAGACCAAGATCACCGAGTTAGTCACTAGAGTGAACTGTTGCAGAACGATGAAAAGGCGATTCACATGGAGCTGTTAGGTGGACAATGGGGCCGCATTCCATTGGAAAGGCAGTATGAATATGCAGAAGTCGCTCTGTATCAATGCCATCAGCGATCAGATGAGTCCAACGACTCTTTCCTGGCCCGGGCTGATGTGATGTGGTATTGAATGGGCGGCTTTCCTGCGTAAGGCTTCCTCTCTCGGTTTCATCGGCTATGCCGCTATGCCCAGCATGGCCCTCCTCGTCGTGAAATAAAGGGATTTCAACAACCCTGTTTCAAAGGAGGTGTTGCTGGTCTCGCTCGCAAGAAACTTCATCAAGTTCAAATCTTCTCAGCTGCTAAGGAAAGTTTTCAGCTTCTCCTGGTGGCCGTTGCTGGTCTTCATGTTTGTGTGGCTTACGCCCCCCCAGACAGGGGCCCCGCCATCGCTGACCTCACTTCCCTTGCTTCTGAGTCTCTCATCTCATAAACCCTAATCATCATGCAACCTTTCCTGGTTGCTGGTGATTTCAACCGAAGAAGCGGTCGATTGTCAGTTGGTCGACTTCTTGGCCCCCTATTGCGGAACTGTTCTTGCCTCTACGGCCTACTTGATGGCAAGGCCAGCGCGAAGGGAAGTTGACTACTTCGTTACCAATCGGCTTCATCATTTCTCCTCAATCGTGGTGGAGCTGGTCCAGCTCCCGGACCACGTCCCCATCTCAGTGACTTGGCGTCCGCCTACTTCTGAAGCGATCAAGACCGTGGTAGGTCGGGTATAGTAGCCATTCTGGCCTGATGCATCTGTGCCGGAGCACGGCCGGCCAATTCCCAACGCGGCGTGAAAGTGACGAACAGAGAAATGGCAGCGTTGGGGAGATGCGCGAGTTCGGGACCCGACCACCCGTCAGGGCCAGCGGATCCCCGTTGCTTCCGAAAGATGGAGATGACATGCTCGTATTTAATTTCAAGGTCTGGGAACTCGGTCGGATGAATGGCAGGGAGCCCCTGACGAAGCTGGGCCGAAATTTGAACGTCCGGAGGAGCATGACGATTTTGCCAGAAGCCAAACCAATTAATTAAATGAAGGCCGCAACTTGACTCAGTGAATCGGAACGATGACCATGGGAATGGACAGCAGAGAAGACATTGGGATGAGCTTTGGAATGGAGCCAACGGCTAGCCGAGCGAATCATGCGCTGACGCCAATCGGCCAGACGATGACGCTTAAGCTACGCTGGGTGATGTCGGAGTGGAGTTGGTCCAGCTCGCCGACCATGTCAAGGATGCTGGGATCGACAATGTCGGGCTTGTGTGCAGGAGCGCGCGATAGTCTGAAGATCCAGATCGAACTCCGAGCAGATGCAAACGCTTGAGCTCAGAGAGCCGAGCCAGTCTCTTGCATTTATGTCGAAGATGAAGGCATGGTGTCGAGTTCCGGGCCCCGATGGGACCACTGAAGCTTTTTGATCCGAGCAACAACACCTTTTCAACCAAACCACTTGAGACGACGCGCAGCCTCAGAGGTGACAGCGTCGGGCAGATTCGATTTTTCGGTAACAACAGTGAAAGCCTGTCTGAAAACAGTATTGAGCAAAGTCTGGAAGGTATCCTACTCCGACTGGACGTCAGGATTGTCGGGAAAGTGTGTAGTGAGATAGCAGACCTCTGCATTTGATGACCAGCAGTCGGAAGTGCAGAGCTCAAACCTGAAGGAATGGAAAAAACACTTCTTGGAGAATCTGGAGCAGTTTGAAGATTTTTCATCTCAGTTTTCAGCTTTGGATGCGTCAGCACATTCCCAGTGAAATAACTGCTCGTCGCGGTTCTTCTATCCAAGGCGTTGCCTTTCAAATCACTGAAGACTTTGCCAACTACGGATATCTCTTAAGTCTTGACTGGTCCAAATGTTTTGACACGTTCTTTGCTCAATGCTCTGCTCAGCTGATGCGTGACTTCGATCTTCCTGTCGGTTGGTCAAACGTCTGTCAGGATGTCTGGACTCATCAACAGCAATAATTCTTTTTTCCAAGGTTGTATCCATGGTACTCCCTTCTCTGCTCCCCGCTTTATCCCAAGGTGACCCCATGGGCCCCATCCTCTGCCTGCTGTGGACCACCTGCGGTCGCAACACTGTCAGTCGTGCGGTCCCCTCTGATGCTGCCCCTGCCAAACCCGTGTTGTTTATGGATGATCGTTCTGTCGTCTCCGTCTCTCGCTGCTTCAGCACAAAGGTCAAGTTGGTTTGATTGAAAACGAGTCCAGGATATCCCTGGCTGTCAAGTCGCCCAACCTGCCCGTCCCTGACCACCTTGCATCCTTCGTCCAGTCCCCTGTTCGTGTCCTGGGTGCTTACACTGCTGTTAGCCGTCGTCGTTTGTGTCCTGACGAAGACAACGCCTTGCCAAGGCTTCTCGGACCATCTCCATGTTGGCTTCCATCCAACTTCCTTTCCGGCTTATGTTTGCCATGCCTCATGGCGTCCAATATGGCTGGATCTCCCGACTTCCGACCGCTGCTGCTTCGTCGGGTCATGGTCGGCTGTCCGTCGATGCGATGGAAAATGTTACGTGGCAAACAAGCATGTTCGTGCCCTGTTCTTAGGAGGAAACTCTCACCTGGAAGTTCTCTCCGTCAAACATCTCCTGGGTGCTGTTGCCAGGTCTACCGACCAATCTCTTGCTCGCTGGAATGGCCCGGTCGGTAGTCCTGTGCGTCTTCTTCGTCAAGCTCTTCGGGCCTGGCTTCGCCACCATTTGTCCTTGGGTCTTTTCCCATCAAGTTGGTCAAGATCTCAACTTCTCAGCTCCTGTCGTACTAAACCTGATCGTGACTATCTCTCTCATGTTTTCAGACAAGGCTTTCGTGCTTCCCAATGGGAAAAAAATCCGAACAGTGGTCGGCATGAACTTGTGACGAAATCAAAAGTTCCTTGAACGATCACTGGGCGGCATTCCGTGGTCTCAATCTCGAATCTTTTCGAAATTGGATCCTCTCCAATGCTCATGCCAGAACTATGGGTCTAATTAATATCCTTTGTTCGCTCTGCCTGGCTACACATACCCACCGGTGTCTCTGAACCTTGTCTGTGGCAATGCGGTGAGTACAATCCAGGTTTTTACAATTTGGTTTGGAGCTGCCCCTGTCACCTTCATCCTCTCTAACCCCCTGATAACATCCTTCTTGCTCGATTTGGTTGGTCTTCTAACCGTGGTAATCCTGAAGTTGTTAATATGGTTCATTCCCATTTTGGATCTCAGTGCCAATCCCTCTGGTCTGCTCGGCACGGCCGCGCAGCGGCTTCAGGTGACTAAGGATTGGGGGGGCTCGAATGCTGTGGTGGCGATGGCGCTTCTTACGGCTCAAATTGGTTTCTCTACAAACATGTATATATATATATATAGTACATACACACATACGTAAAATAAATAGATATAAATATATAGGCGAAGAAATGCATGAATTAACACATGTATACCTATATACCACACACATGTACAATATGATTGAGATTGATTGGCAATCATGTGTAGAAAAAATGGGAAGATGTGTTTTGGGACGTTTTTTTAATGGATTCCCTGCAGCCTTTCTCCATTCCCCCTGCTGCAGGAAAAAGTTGTAGCAGTGAATGCTGCTTCCGCATACCACGCCGGTGGGGGCTTTGCGACCGGTGGCCGCCACGCTTTGGAAGAAGCGATGTGTGTGCAGAGCTCGTTGTACGAGTCGCTGGAGCGGGGTGTCAGTTTGGCAGAAGATGCCAAGACGCTTGGCTGATGTCAAACTGAAAGATGTTTGATGCCACACTGATGCTACAAAGTGGGGGAACGTGTGGACACATGATTCGACATGATGTATACATATGGATGTATAGATGGTTTGATTCGCATGGTTCTCACATGTTCTTTTAATTTCATCCAGTCTTTTTGCGTTGGCAAGATGTGTAGGATATTCAAGATATTCCTTTCACTTTCATGTTTTTCCATCAATGTTTGCTCTTGTTGCTAGGCTGGAGGTGCCGAGCTGGGTCCGGCCTCCGAAAAGGCGCGATGGCAAACCCTGGGTTTTGCACCTCCCTGACGACGGCGTTTTGTTGTCGCCGATGGTCGAAGTTTTCCGCGACGGGGCGAACGATGGCTACGCTTTCAGGGATGCCGTCACCGTGCTTGCAGCGGTGGTGCCACCTGGCGTGTCTCATGATTTTACCCCGGTTCACGCAATTTGCAATTTGCAATGATTTGCAATGATTTGCAATGTGTAGGGGTGTAGGCACAGTGTCAACGGATATATACAAGATGCGAACATCGTGTTGGATAAACATGGATAAACCATGTCCTTGATTTTCACTCTGCCCTATTTAGCATCAAATGAACACAATGAACGATTTGATCTTGCCAGGATGTGATTTTGGCAAGCGAGGTCTGTTGCAATGCCAAACTGCAATGAAAAGATGTCGGACTCGCCTGTGGATGCACACCCAGAACCAGAAGGCAAGTCGGATTTGGCTGAGCTTGCATTGCCCACAGGGTAAAATTTGTGGCTAGCTAGGTACTGCGATGCTTCCGAAGCTTAGGGGTCCCAGTTTGTTGTTGTGATGAATCATGCAAGCAGAAGAGTAGGGTGCTGGGTATTTTGTGCCAAACTCACAGGCTACAAGAAGCAACTGACCCAGAAGTGGCTCGCAGTGCTGCGAGCAGCTGCTACATGTCCTACAGCCACAACACTAGTGGTTCCAGATGCGGGATGTGGCCTCTCAGCTGTTGTGAGCTGATGATATATATATATATATGTGTGTGTTGTGACAGTTGTGGTTTAGCCAAGATGAGCCGGTGCAGGGCAAAGCATGTTGATGGAATGGAACAGTTTTCACATGTTTTCACATGTTTTCACATGTTTTCACATGTTTTCACAGCAGATTTTATGTCCTAAGTTTGGCGCCGGGTTGCTCAGATTTGCTGAGGAGTCTTCTACAATCGCCCGGAGGAGGTAGGTGCAAGCTTTGGAGAGGCACTTCAGCAGTATCGTGGCCGCTTTAAGCGTGTGCTGATCTCATTCCCTGGCGGCAAAGCAGGGGAGGCCTTTGCTGCAGCAGCCCAAGCCGCCTTTGCTTAGTTGATTTTAGTGGATCTTACTTGTTAAAATTCGGGACTGGAAGAACCCCGGCAAAGAATCCCAGCAATTCGCAACTTGCCAAGCAGGGACAGCAGACCAAGGTTCTGAGTCAGGAAGCAGCACAGAAAATTTGAACATTTGAACTCCATTTGGTAGAGGCTTTGTAGGATTTCTATGGGCTTTATTGGGATTCCATTGTTCATCCTTGTCGGGGTCACGTAGTTCAAAATTAATCCAGCTATGCCAAATATGAGCTTTTCTGATGTGTACGTGGGATAGAGCAGTCGGCAAGATGACATATGAGAACGGCAGCCTTTCAGTAGCAAGAGCTCTCACGCAACAAGTATTTGATGTCTGAAAAGAGATGCATACCATTGAGAACACTGTGCTGCCACAATCTTGATGTCTCAAGCCAAATGATCTCAAAGAGATGCATTCTGTGTGCAAAGTTGCACAGACATGGTCGTCTGGAGCATTCGAGCATAGAACCAAGTGCCACTGGACAATTTCGCCAGTGCTTAACTCAATAATTCTTGCTTCATGGTGTTTTGAGGCAGTCGTCCATTTGCTGCAGATGCCATTTCTCTCCATGTTCTGGGTGGACCCAATCGCACTGAACTGTTTCGCCAAGCAGGACTCGTTTGAAATCTGAAGGCCGCGTGAATCAAAAAAATCGGGCTCAACAGGTGTTCCACCTCGGTGGCAGATAGAAATTGTCACTTGCAGTAATGGTGTGCCAGCAATGATCTTGTGAATCCTGTGCCTGGGATGGTAAGAAGAGCGCACAACAATGCCTTTTAGCGTCATCATTTTTCCACAATGCACCAGGGCCAGGCAAATGCCATGTAGTTTGCAGACACTTGATGCGCTATGATGCGCCATGGTGCGCCATGAATTCTGCATACTGTATGTGGCTCATTTTGTATCGCGCTTTAGCAGTGTCGCCCGCAATAGATACATCCTTCAGATGGCTGCGCACAGCTGTACCAAGAAGGGGCGGGAAGGATGTCGACGTTGCTGAAACTCACACTTTCGAATCTTCCGTACTGTATTTACCTCAGGGATCGTGACGCGCATTCTGAAGTAAAAGGATTTGTGGTTGGGTTGAAGTGGGGGGCTGGTCCGGGATTCGGGTGCTTCAAGTGCGAAACAGCGTGTATGGAGACTGGGGCAAACAATTGCGTTGTCCGGCTGGAGCTTGTCCTGGGAGATCCTGGGCGTCCTTGACAGTCGCAGCTTGTGACGAGCTGCTCCGGCGATACAGAATCGTGTTGATCGTGTTGTCTGCCAGTGGATCTAGTGGACCCCTTTTTTCCCTACCTCTATCATCCTCTATCCCTCATCCAGACAGCAAGTCCCTGCTATACATTGCTATAGGCTATACATTATTAAAGTCAGAAGGAGGCAACTGTGTCAGCCAAGAGAACATTGGCTATCAGACAGCGGTGGAGGGCAAAGCGAAGAAGGGTTGAAACTAGACCAGTTGCGACAAGTGCATATCTGAATGATTCTGAATGTGTTTGGAATACATGTGAATACAGCCTTCCCCGAAGCTTGGGCCTAGCTTTGTCCTTCCTGGTTCAGGTCAAGGGGACCCTCCAGGCTGCAGCAAGGCTTGGATTCAGGCCAACTGATTGCACAGCCATTCACGAACTCACAATCTTTATATATATATATATGGGTTGGAACATGTTTAAAACCGGTGATGCCATATCGGTACTGTACACATTTGTTATATTTTTTTCCTACTACTTGGGCGTTTTTTTCTGGCGAAGGTTTGTAGGACCATTCTACCAAAGGGGCACGAGTTGGGCTCGCACTGAAGTCTTGCTGTGCTGCGACTCGAAGCCCATCTCCAGCTTTCAAGACTGCGGAAAACAATTGAAATACTCCCGGCACAATTGGGCACTTGATTAGGAAAGTAAGATAAACCAGCTTTCAGAGGCACGCCATGGGCCGTCACACATGAGCAAAATCAAACTTACTGGCCGTAAAGTCCTTCACAACAACTATTGCTTTTCCAAAAAAAAGTCCGAGTTCAGGAACAACCTGTGGCGCCTCATGGATTCGGCTTTCAGCTTCCACTTGGACCAGTTGGTCCAGCACTTGAAGACCGAAATTCTCCAGCACCATGAAAAAGACTTGGCTTTGAACGGCAGACAGTCACCAGAGAGAGAGGCATTTTCCACCAAGCCTCATATTTTGGGATTGCAAAGGAAGGCCGTTGAGGGCACGGACTTTTCACGCCGCAAGGTCCTGCTGAATAGAAGATCTGCTCCAGACTCAGACTCTTCTGAGGAGCTGGAGCATCGACCCAGCATCATAACCAGT